AATTTCTTGATGTAGGCACCTATTGATATAAACTTTCCTCTTAACACTGCTTTTGCTGCGTCCCATAAGTTTTGGTATGTTTTGCTGTTATCTTCATTTACTTCCAGAAAATTTTTGATTTCTCTTTTAATTTCTTCTATGACCCATTGTTCATTCAGGAGCATGTTGTTCAATCTCCATGTGTTTGCATATGCTCTAGGGATTCCTGAGTTGCTAATTTCCAACTTCATTCCTTTATGGTCTGAGAAGCTGCATGGTATGATTCTAATTCTTTTGAATTTGCTGAGACTTGCTTTATGGCCTAGTATGTGGTCAATCCTAGAGAAGGTTCCATGTACTACTGAGAAGAATGTAAAATCTTTAGCTGTAGGATTGAAAGTTCTGTATATATCTGTTAGATCCATTTGGGCTATAGTGTCGTTTAAATCTACTGTCTCCTTGTTGATCTTCTGTCCTATTGATCTGTCTATTTCTGAGAGTGGAGTATTGAAGTCCCCAGTACTATTGTATTGGGGTCTAAGTCTCCCTTTAAGTCCCTTAACAAATCTTTTAGATAAACCGGTGCCCTGTAGTTAGGTGCATATACATTGATAATTGTTATATCTTCTTGTTGTATTGACCCCTTAATCATTATATAGTGTCCCTCTTTGTCACTCTTAACAGTTTTTGTGGTAAAGTTTATGTTTTCCGATATTAAGATGGCTACGCCCGCTCTTTTTTCATTTCTGTTGGCATGGTATATCTTTTTCCAGCCTTTCACTTTCAGTCTGCATGCATCTTTGTTGGAAAGATGCGTTTCTTGTAAGCAGCAAATAGATGGGTTTTGTTCCTTAACCCAGTCAGCCAATCGGTGTCTTTTAACTGGACAGTTCAGGCCATTAACGTTCAATGTGACTAATGATAAGTGGTAACTTTGCCCTGCCATTTGCCAAAGATAAGTTCTAATATATGCTTTGAATTCCCTGTGATCTTTTGCTGTGAGCTTTCCTTCCTTTACCTTCTTTCATATTGATGACCGTGTTTCTGTGTTTCTGTGTGTAACACATCTTTAAGCATCTTTTGCAGGGCTGGACGAGTGGCAACAAATTCTTTCAATTTCTGTTTGCAATGAAAAGTCTTTATTTCACCTTCATTCACAAATGATAGCTTTGCAGGATATAATATTCTGGGCTGGCAGTTGTTCTCTCTTAGTACCTGGGCTATATCTCGCCATTCCCTCCTAGCTTGTAGGGTTTCTGATGAGAAGTCAGCTGTGAGTCTGATTGGAGATCCTCTGAGAGTAATCTGACGTTTCTCTCTTGCACATTTTAGGATCTTTTCTTTATGTTTCACTGTGGAGAGTTAAATTACAACCTGTCGTGGTGAGGATCTCTTTTGGTCATGTTTATTAGGGGTTCTGTGAGCTTCCTGTACTAGGATTTCTCTGTCCTTCTCCAAACCTGGGAAATTTTCTGCTAATATCTCACTAAAAAGGCCTTCTAATCCTTTCTCCCTCTCCATGCCTTCAGGAACTCCTAGAACCCGAATGTTGGGTTTTTAAATAGTGTCCTGAAGATTCCTGACAATATGTTTTAGATTTCTAATTTCCTCTTCTTTCTTTGGTCTGACTGTATCCTTTCCTGTTCTCTGTCTTCTAAGTGTGATATTCTCTCTTCTGCTTCACCCATTCTGTTTGTAAGGCTCTCTATTGTGTTTTTCATTTGATCTATTGAATTCTTCACTTCATTATGATTTCTCGTCACTATCACAGTTTCCTGTTGTACTAGTTGTTTTGTTTCATTTTGATTCCTCCTTAATATTTCATTTTCACGAGAGAGATTTTCTACCTTGTCCATTAAGGATTTCTGCAGTTCAAGAAATTGTTTTTGAGAACTTCTTAATGTTCTTATCAATTTTTTGAGATCTGCTTCTTGCATTTCTTCTATGTCATCATCTTCATAATCTTGAATTGGGATGTCTTTTTCATTTGGGGGCGTCATGGTGACTTCCTTGTTTTTATTACCTTGGTTTTTATTACCTGCGTTTGTTATTTGGCATATTGGAGATATTTGGTTTCTTCACTGTGGTGCTTTTTCTTGTTATACTATGACTCTAGATTAAGTGGACTGTCTGTTTTTGATGGAGCCTTAGAGGCTTGAGATGGGTGTGGCCTGAGAGCTCTGTTTGGTGTGCCAAAGGTGACACTCCCAGGTTAGGCGTGATAGATCTCTCTCTCTTTCTTTTTTTGATTCAAAAGGGAAGTAATTCCACATAGCTGAACGAAGTTGGAGGTAGTTAGCAGGCAAATGATATACCCACAGGAGCCAGAGATCGGAAGCTCTTTCCCAAGGACCACACAGGGAATCTGTTCTGCCCTCAGAGTGGGCTCAAATTCTCCTTCAGTCTCCCACTGGGTTGCCAAAGTTACGGAATTGTAGCGTCTCTGGAGAGTACTCACGTTAATTCCGTGAGTTCTCTCCCCCACCGTCTCTTTTTTCACAGTCTCAGTTCAGTAGCACCACAAATTTACTAGGTCCTAATCTCCTGTTAATTCGCCCCGCCCAGAGTCACGTTTTTCTGCTAGGCTCAGGGCCGGTGCAGACCTGAGGTTGCTCTGCTTATGACGTATGTCCAAGATGGCGCCTGCTCTTTGTCGTGCTCGCCCTTGAGAGGTGAGTGGAGAGAGAGAAAAAATTACATGATATTTTAAAACCAGAGAAATAGAACCCATTTTCTAAAGGAAAAACAACTAACAGACTCCAACCTCAAGATAATGCAGGGGGTTTAATTATCAGGCAAGACTTTTAAAGCAGCTATTTTAAATATTCTCAATGAGGTTTGTAAAAAATAATATGCATGTAATATATTAAAAAATAGAAAAGTTCAGTGAGAAATTGACAAAAATGGATTTTTTTTTGTCAAAAAATTGACAAAATGGAATTTCTAGAAGTTAAAAGAAAAACACAGGGCCGGCACTGCAGCTCAATAGGCTAATCCTCTGCCTTGCGGAGCTGGCACACTGGGTTCTAGTCCCGGTCGGGGCACCGGATTCTGTCCTGGTTGCCCCTCTTCCAGGCCAGCTCTCTGCTGTGGCCCGGGAAGGCAGTGGAGGATGGCCTGAGACCTTGGATCCTGCACCCGCATGGGAGACCAGGAGAAGCACCTGGCTCCTGGCTTCAGATCAGCGCGGTGCGCCAGCCGCAGCACACTGGTTGCGGCAGCCATTGGAGGGTGAACCAACGGCAAAGGAAGACCTTTCTCTCTGTTTCTCTCTCTCACTGTCCACTCTGCCTGTCAAAAAAAAAAAAAAGAAAAGAAAAAGAAAGAAAGAAAAAAAGAAAAAAAAAGAAAAAGAAAAGAAAAGAAAAGAAAAGAAAAGAAAAGAAAAGAAAAGAAAAGAAAAGAAAAGAAAAGAAAGAAAAACACAGGGACTGGCAATTGACCTTGCAGTCAAGATCCCAACTGAAACAATAGAATTCCATATCAGATTACTGCCTAAGTTCAATTCACATTTAAACTCCCAATTACAGTCTTCTGCTAATGTGGATCACATGAATCATAGGTAGTAGCTCCAGTGATCGAGTACCTCTCACCCACATGAAAGACCTGGGCAGAGTTTTCAGCTCCTGGCTACAGCCCCGACCCAGCCCCAGCTAATATGGGCATTTGGGAGATGGTCCAGCAGATGGGAGCTGGTGTTTCTCTCTCTCTCTCTCTCTCTCTCTCTCAAACTCTTTCTCAAACTCTTTCTGCTCTGCCCCTCTCTGTCTCTCAGACTTTTGAAAGATTTATTTTATTTATTTGGAAGGCAGTATTAGAGAGAGAGAGAGAAAGGAAGGGATAGACAGAGACAGAGAGATCTTCCATTTACTGATTCATTCCCAAAATGGCTGCAACAGCCAGCACTGGGCCAGGCTGAAGCCAGGAGCAAAGAGCTTATTCCAGGTCTCTCACATGAACTCAGGGGCCCAAGCACTTTGGCCATCTTCTGTTGCTTTCCCAAGTACATCAACGGGGAGCTGGATCTGAAGTAGAGCAGCCAGGTCTCAAACTGGCACCCATAGGGGATGCTGCACTGTGGATGGCAGCTTTAGCTGCTATGCCATGGCATCAGCCCTCTCAAACTTTTCAAAAACTAAAGTACAGGGACAAAAATTAGAGTCTAATATAGATTAAATTTTTATTTCATTTCCTTTGGATATATGTGCAGAAGTAAAAACATGGCTATATGATGTATCTATTTAGTCTGTTTTTTAAGAAACCTTTTCTTTATAATTGATGTAATAATTTATATTCTCACCTACAGACTATAAAAATTACCTTTTATGCATACCTTCACTTGCAATTATTTTTTGTCTTTTTAATAATAGCCATACTACCTGGAGTGAGATGATACCTTATTGTGGTTTTAGTTTGCATTTTTTTCATGAGTAATGATACTGAGAATGTTCTCATATACTCATTGGTCATTTTCTTGCTAATTATCTCTTCAGTTTCTTTGTCCATTTTTTTTCGTGATTCAACATTTTAATTTTGATATAAATTATGCAAGTACTTTCCCAAAAGTATCTAAAATACTCCACTGTACAACACACAGAAAGGGTATCTGAGAAGACAGAGACCATAGAACCTTTAAATAAGGCACCAAGTTTTATTTACATTCATAACTGCATCCTGAACTGCCTTTATTCATATTTACAACCCCCCAGAGTTCCGTGTCCTGGATCGTCCTTCACATTTTCTGGTATTTGGCATCAGGTTCAAACACACTTCATACACACTGACCTCCTCTCCCGAAACCACTCGCAAAACTAAATAAATACTAGAGGAAACATTATAGATCACTTGAAGGCTTGATCTTTGCTGAGGACAGAAGCGTCAGTGCCCTGTGAGGAAGTTCTACAGAGTGAAGAATTAACAAACTTTGAAATTCACTAGAAAAGCATCTTAACCCTGTTCAGGGACCACCGAGCACCACTTAAAGGGGTCATCACGCAGGCTGCTGTCTAGGGCCGTCACTCTCACACTTCTATCACCCAGCTGTCCTCTTCCATGTCTGCTTGGGAGGAGAAGGGCTCCGGCTGGCTGGCAGGAAGCTCCGTCGCGCTGCCCTGACTCAGAGGAAGAGACCAGGTTTCGGCTTGGGCGGTCTCAGTCGGTTCAGCTGGCATCTCCTCAGCCGACTGCCCTTCATTGAGCTGCACCTTGTCTCCACTCTCAGGGTCCAACATTCCACGCTCCCTGTTGGCCGGGGCTTCCATCTTCAACCTTCCAAAGTGTCGCTTCAGAGGAAGTCTTCCAATATCTTGGATAAAAGAAATCTGAGCTTGATTTCTCATTGGAATGGTTAACAGAGCAAGGTATGGCAACAGCTGAGTTTGGAGGCATAAAGCTGACACGTAGAAGTCAAAAAAAAGTACTCTTGCTGCCAGGCAATTTTCCCGATACTTTTTATTTATTAGAAACCACTGGGGTTGGTGCAAGGGTCGAAAACTTGAAGCCCCTCCTTGGCAATGTGCAAATCCTCGGGCTCTGTTGGAATGTATCACACCTCTCCTAGCTATGGATGCACTGTATTCCCTGAGTAAAGAGCGCATATTCCAGTCACCACTGAGGATATCTGCAAAACTGAGAAGTTCACTGGCTCTCACAAGATCATCTACTTCCAGGAAGAAATCTACAAAGTTTTGGTGAAGATACAAATTGAAAAACTCTCCTGGCATGTTTGACATTTCCACTACTTCCTCAGGGTGAACAAGTTTTGGATCCCGTTCATGCTCTGATAAATGAGACGGCAATTGCGGTGAGACTAATTCTGTTGAAGGTGCTCTTTTACAATATAGAATTTTCCCCAAAGCTCTGAAGAGAAAGAGAGAAACGTCTTTGCTACCAATAGCTTGGGCCTCTTGATTTTCAAAAACCCTAGTAGGTTTTCTCCTTCCTCTTGATTTTGAGAGCACAGCATCTGATTTTAATGACACTCCTTTTTTCCTTGGCCATAAATTGTTCTCTCCTTTAGAAGAAGAAAACTGGAAGCTGTTTATTGCACTTCTGATATCATCAGAACATCCTTGACAGTAACTGTAAAGAACTTTGATCAGGGACAACAATTTCTCTTCCATTCTTATTAGCTTCTATAGTTACTATTCGATTAAAAAACTTCATCATAATTGTTGGTGCCACAGGGTTAAAACTAGTATTTGAGATAGAACATTCCTCTTGAATTTCTTTGGGGAACAGCAGCCTATGATTATCATCACCACTGACACTGTCAGAGATTACAAATACAAGAGGACATCGGCCAATCTGCACAAATTTTCTTAGAACTTCATGTAAACTAGAGAATCTTGATAAAACTGGTTAGGTAAATCTACCAGAATTATCTTCTTATTAGTTCTTAAATCCTCTCCAAGCATTTGTAGTTTGTTGTACTTTGTTGCTCTCAATAGAAACTCTTTGAAAACTGCCAATTGAGATTGATATGGAAGCAGAGGGAAGCTTGATTCAGGATTAAACATCTCTTTGAAATCATCTTTTTGGAAGTCTGATAAAACTGGATTAATCCACTCTTGTACATGTATACCATGCTCCTTTGACAGTATTTTTATAGTAGCCATCTTGCCACATCCAGGAGGACCTGTTATTAATAAAAAAGATCCACCCTGTTTTGGTTGCCTTTCTAAAACTTGAGCTTTTAACCAGGTTTCAACTTCTTCAATTTTCTTTTTATGCACAGCAAGTTCATGCTGAGTTTCTGGTTTGTATTTGTCCACCCATGACTCATTTTCAGATAGATATTCCTTTGAATTTTCTAGACCATAAATCAGTTCTAAGGAAGACAGCTTTCCTTTTCTTCTAGCTGGAAATTTGCTACTTTCTAATGTGGGAGACACATTTTTTCTTCTACGAGTTGAGTTATTCACACCTAATGATGTGGCAGGAATAGTGGAAATGCCTGAATTCTCCAAACAATCATCGAATGATGGGTCTACCCAGTCTGTTACCTTTGTGGAAGATACCTTTGGTCTAAGAAAAGTGTTTGACATCATAAATCTGAATAGTTCCCATCCGTAGTATACAATCTGTAGTACAACAAAGTATGATTCACCTTTTCTTAAAAAGAAAAATCAGGCAATTCTATCTGAGAAGTTTTTAACACCAAAAATTAAACTATTCCTTCCTTTAATTCTGGTCAATGGAAGAATATTTATAAATTTTTTTTTTTTTTTGCGGGAGCTGCATTCCCCTCGTGGGCGGAGAGGAGCCAAGGAGCACAGGGTTGGCTCGGTGTTAGGGCAGCCACCCGGCCCTCCCCGGGCTCAGCACCGAGCCTCTCTTTGTCCATTTTTAATTGAAGTGTTTGGTTTTTGTTGTATTTATCAAAGGGATAAATGCATTACAGCACTATTCAAGATAGGCAAGTTATGGAATAAACCTAGACACTTTGAATGGATGAATGGATAAAGAAATTGTGTTTTATATACAATTTCATATTATCCAACTATAAAAAATGAACTCCTGACATTTGCAGCAAAATGAATGGAACTGGAGGTCATTCTGTTAACTGAAATAATCCAAACACAGAAAAACAAATAGCATATGTTTTCACTGATATGTGGAAGTTTTAAAAAGTCCATCTGAACATAGGACAGTGATTACTAGAACCTGGGAAGGGTGCTGGAGGTAGATAGGGCTTGGAAAATGGGTACCAAAGCACAATTAGATACTAGAACTCTAGTATCTGTATAGCACAGTGGGGTGACTATACTTCACTATAATGTACCATACACTGTATAAAGATCTGGAAGAGAGGAGCTGGTTGGTCTGAAGTAAGGATAGGAAGATGGCAACATTGATGGCCTGATTTGTTCAGTATATACAATGGGCATGTGTTGAAATATTGTATTGTGTCCCATAACAACAAACATGTATATCATGTTAGTTAATTTTTAAAAGAAATGGATGTACTTAATAGTAAAATTGAAATCTCCAAACATATAATTGGATAGTCAAAAGATACACCACTAGAAATCCCATCTCTAGAAGTATAAGAGAAAAAAAAGTCTACAAAATTAATAGTGTATCAGGAATCCTGTCAGACAATACCAAAAGACATGAATATATGTCATTGGGATCGTGGAGTTCAGAACAGGTATTTGAAGACATAGGGGCCAATTATCTCGCAAATTTGGCAAAACACATTAATTTATTTTTTTAACTATTATTTAATAAATATAAATTTCCAAAGTACAACTTTGGATTATAGTGGCTTTTTCCTCCCCGTAACTTCCCTCCCACCTGCAACCCTTCCATTCCCCTCTCCCTCTCCCATCCCATTCACATCAAGATTCATTTTCAATTATCTTTATAAACAGAAGATCAATTTAGTATATATTAAGTAAAGATTTCAACAATTTGCACCCAAACAGAAACAAAAGTGTAAAGTACTGTTTGAGCACTAGTTATAGCATTAATTCACATTGTACAACACCAACACATTAAGGACAGAGATCCTACATGGGGAGTAACTGCACAGTGACTTCTGTTGTTGATTTAAAAATTGACACTTTTGCTTATGGCGTCAGTAATCAACCGAGGCTCTTGTCCTGAGTTGTCAAGGCTATGGAAGCCTCTTGAGTTCGCCAACTCTGATCTTATTTAGACAAGGTCATAGTCAAAGTGGAAGTTCTCTCCTCCCTTCAGAGAAAGAGGTACCTCTTCTTTGATGGCCCGTTCTTTCTGCTGGGATCTCACTCGCAGAGATCTTTCATTTAGGTTTTTGTTTTGTTTTGCCTTTTTTTTTTTTTTTTTTTTGCCAGAGTGTCTTGGCTTTCCATACCTGAAATACTCTCATTGGCTTTTTAGCCAATGAATGCCTTAAAGGCTGATTCTGAGGCCAGAGTGCTGTTTAGGACATCTGCCATTGTATGAGCCTGCTGTGTATCCCGCTTTCCATGTTGGATCGTTCTCTCCTTTTTAATTCTATCAGTTAGAAAACACATTAATTTATAAAGATTTATAAACCTGATCAGAATAAGTACCAAGGAATGTCTCTAAGAATACCATTCAAACTTCTAAGAGTCAAATATGAAGCAAAAATCTTGAAAAAAGAAGACAGAGAAAAGTGACACATTTTCTTTTAAGAAAATAAAACTTCAACTTAACTCTGATTTCTTATCAGAAACACTTGAGACCCAGGGACAGCTGACCATTTGCAAAAGATGATCAAGGAATGGTTATGTAGTGTAAGAACTTCAGAGTTAAAGATGGATCATAAAGGAGAGGAAAGAAGCAACACAATAATTTAATAGAGACAAAGAAGTGAAAATGGAAAAAATATTGGAAAATCAAGATTATATGATGCAGCCAAACGTTAGACAAAAAGGAATCCAGGGGGTTGGCACTATGCCCTAGCCAGTAAAGCTGCCACCTGCAGTACTGGCATCCCATGTGGGCACTGGTTCAAGATCCAGCTGCTCCACTTCCAAACCAGCTCTCTGCTAATGTCTGGGAAAGCAGTAAAAGATGACCTAAGTCCTTGGGCCCCTGCACCCATGTGGGAGACCTGGAAGAAGCTCCTGACTACTGGCTTTGGATTGGTGCAGCTCCAGCTGTTGTGTCCAATTGGGGAGTGAACCAGGAGATGGAAGACACCTCTCTCTCTCTCTGCCTCTCCTTCTCTCTGTGTAACTCTGACTTTCAAGTAAATAAATAAATCTTTAAAAAAGGGGATACAGGAAAGAAATTTGTCATGACACTAGGAAAAATATCATGGCACATCAGTTATTAGAGAGTCAAGTCTGAGTTTGAATTTATACCACCTGTTTCTCCCATAATATGGAATAATAGAAAAAGGCCTTTGCTCTCCACTTACTCCACTCCCACAACCACAAATGTATTCTCTTCTGTGTAAGAAACATAGTTCTCCAATGCTTATTCTGTTTGATTCATATAGTACAATATAGCTATATATTTAAAAGGATTCTAAAACAACTATATGCTTTGAAATAATAATTTTATTTGATTGCCTCAGTTTAAAAGATGTGCATGAGATGTAGCTAAATATTTATATGCAAGGATATGTATAAGAGTTTTATTTATGGGGCCAATGTTGTGGTGTAGTTGTTTATGTCAACACTTAACCATGCTGGTATCCTGGTTCAAGTCTTGGCTACTTCACTTTCAATCCAGCTCTCAGCCAATACCCTGGGAAGGCAAGGGAGATTGGCCCAAGTGTTTGGGCGTCTGACACCCACACAGGAGATCAGCATTGAGTTTAGCCTCCTGGCTTTGATCGAGCTGAGCCCCAGCTGTTGCAACCGTTTGGGGACATGAATCAGGACTGGAGAAACGAAGATTGTGTCCAGCTGTAGTTTACAGCTGAAATACTGGGTAGTAAATAGAAATTTGGACTTAAGGTGAACTGGTGGGTCAGAGACTAGACAGAGAGTCAAAAAAACAAAGCATACATAGCTAGTAATGCAAGAGTAAAGATACGTAAGATTCAGGTAGGAGAATCAGAAAATTGACAAGCAGTCAGCAGAGGAACATAAGCAAAGGACAGTAAGATGGACACAGGTGTTGAAGAACAAAACAAAGTAAGGGGTCAAATACTCAAGTAGAAAGAAACCAAGAAAGAATAAAAATGGCATTACTGAAAGCAAGGAAATTTTGAGGGTGAGTTCCCTCTTCAGGAAGCTTTAATGTACACTTTTAGAATAGAAACCGATCTGAGGATTTGTGCAGTTCAGAATCCGTGGAGGAAAACAAATGAATCAGCAAATCTGGCAAGAAATGTGTAAAGATGAAGCATGGATTTCTGTAATCTCTTGTGTAGTTGACAATAAAGAAGGCGAGGAAGGAGACAGACAGAGGGGGAATGATTGAGTGTACTGGTTCCCCTAAATTCCTCTCAAGGTCACAGAATTAGGATATGGGGGCTGTGGAAGACCATTAGGTCACAGGGAGGAGTCCTCATGTGAGGAATTAAATGCCCTTACAAAGAAGACCCCAGAGAAATCCTGAAATCCTTTCACCGTGTACTGTGAAAAGCAGGAATTTTCCTCTCACCAGATAGCAAAATCTTTCAGGGTCATAATCTTGGGCCTCCCAGCCCCCAGTGCATAGTATTTTGTGATAGCAGTTGACAAACAAGAAAGGAAGACAGAAATAGAAGGAGAGAGGGAGAAACAGAGAAGGAATCTGGGGTTAAAAATTCCCAAAAATTTCTGGATAAAGGATAAACCAATACAAAACACAGTACGTGGATCACTGTTAATCTACAGTAGAATGTATTCACGAATATATGATCTAAACTGCTATAAAAGAAAGAATTACATTAAACCCCAAATTATTTGTGTTTAGTGTGTATAGTAAACACAGTGCTTATTACCTTCAAAATATTGATTTTATTTTTCTGGAGAAGAGCAAACTATACTTGATTTCCATTATGGAAATGTATAGGCATTTGTTAAGTTCTTCACATCACAGTTCTTTAAAATACTTATTTTCTTTAAAGTATTTTATTCTAGAAATGCCAAGTATTAGAACTGGCTTGCAATAGAATTTTGATTTGTTACATATTTGATATTACAAATGTCTGTTACAGATTCATCATTTGGAAGGCATGCAATTACAAACAATTGAAAATTTGCAATCTATTATTCACGTACAACTAAAACAAAATGGATGGCTTTCTGTATTTTCCCACATCTGTGTAGCTCTTCACAAATACTGAAAAATACCATGCCACCAGCACTGTGCCCATGAATTGCCTGCCAGTGTTAATAAAGTTCCTATGACAGTTTCTTTCGATTTAGAGTTTATCTCAATCAAATATATTATTAGTTATATTCAGTTCATTTAAAATTAACCACATCTTCTGTTCAAATGCAGCTGGAATTGACCTAGCGTGTCTGTGGAGATAATAAGATTAAGGTGAATGAAGTAATGAGTAGTATAACATGGCCTAATTATATACCATACTCCCATTCACCTTAATTTGAGAACGAGCACAAACTGGATGGAATTCAAAAAGCAGCAGATTGAAAATGGATAAAAAGACTTTTTTATGTGGTGCATAATCAGCTTTCAGAATTCACTGC